GGTTGGAGCGCGAACACAAATTACCCGCACTGACATAAAATGGAAAGTCGGCGAACGGAAGAAAAAAAGAACTCTTTTAAAAAGCTTACGGCTGTTTGGATTTTTATTTTATGTTTTTTAAAATAAAAAAAATAGAAAATAAATATAAAAAAATGTGTTTGTTTATTCAATATTTTATTTTATTTCTATTTTCTTTATTTTTTAAGATAGTAATTATGTTTCAAAAATATTAAAAAGAGAAAAAAAAAATTTTTTTTCTGTTTTGTAAAGCACTAAAATAACCCTTCACCTAGCCTGCCTTCACTGTCGACAATTGCGGCCTGCTTGTCAGTCTGCCGTCCGTCCGCCTTACTGTGTTGTAATATATACCAGTTGTTGTGGTATACATATAGAAATAAAATAGAAGAACGGTTTTTGATGAAGCGAGAAAAAATTGAACGAGAAAATTTACATCAGAAAACAGTAACACAATAGAACACACAAATTTACGTGGTTCGGCAAATTGTTTACATCCACAGAGTTGCAGAGGATTTTACTACTTGAGAAATTTACACAAATCGATCGTCTCGTCTCGACTTACAAGAGCGAACTTTACAAGAGCGAACTGTTTCTCTCACTTCACTACTTTTCTCTCTCTGCATTGAGATACACCGAAGAGGATAAACTTACAAGAGAAATAAACTCAATTTCTCTTCTGCCACAAGCCACCAAGAAGAAGTCAAAGGAGAACAATCTTCTTCTTCTTTCTTCTTTCTTCTTTCTTCTGCTGCAAGGAACTACTGCTTGCACTTCTCTTCTTGTGTCCCGAGAAGTCCGAAAAAAAAAACACAAAAATTGTGAATTAGAACTAAAGGAGAGGCACTGCGATGTCTTTTATCGCGAACAGGAAGGGAGACGTTGCGACTATTTACGACAAAGGAGTGGTTCACGAACAATAGGGTTGCGACCTTTGCAAACGGGAGCGGGAGTTTGCACGACAGAGCGGGAGCAGGAGTCTTCGCCTGTGCGCGGGAAGCGAGCGCACTGAACCGGGCTCTATATAATGGAGTGATTATAAATAAAATAAAAATAAAATTGATTTTATTTTCATAATAGTGCCAAACATTTTATTTTTTTATAAAGTAAAAAATACCAAATCAAACATATTTTATTTTTCTTGGTTGTTTTTAATATTTTATTTTCATAATAGTGACAAACATTTTTTTTCCAAAAATAAAATAAAAATAAAACTGATTAAAAATAAAAATAAAAATAAAAATAAAAAAGAGGAAGTAATCTCAAACATATGTAAGTTAAGAAAATTAATAGCCAAATAATATGTGAAATACAATATCTTAAATTTTTTTCATGACAAATGACCGGTTTGTAAGAAATTAAAACGAAGAACAATAATACTATGAAGTATGAAATAATTTTTTAGAAAAAAAAAAACATTTAAATAAAATTCTATTGAGTCAAGCTGTATGGCATATATTTCCGCCACGTGTCATTTCCTTGTCCCATTCCCGCATAAAAACAAATCACGAGCCGATCTGTTCTCTATTCATGATTGACTTGTAGCCGTCTGATTCATATATGATTGAACTTTTAATCTATGGGCATTTCCATACATACCACACAATTCTTATATATTTACATACGTAACAACTAAACATTTAACAATACATCATAAATATCAACATCATTATACCTTAAAAGCAAAATATACATTTGTATGCATCAATTTATGAGGCTAATATTTTATAAGTATAAATCTCAAAATCTAAGTATAATATATATAAATATAAAAAAATTGGGTGGTATTTATGTAAAATTCCCTTTAAACAAATATATAAGCGAAATTAAGGTTCAAGGATCTTGGATATGACATTTGGCAGATTCTATAATTACAATTAGGCTGACCTTGCATATGTATTAAGTCATTTTTAAATAGTCAACTATGAAATAAAATATAATATAATTTTGACTTTGCAATTATATAATTTATGTGACAGTTTTAAAGTTGGCTAATTAGAACAAATGTGACCATATGATTTGCATGTGATTGAGCACGATTTTCAATGCATTTTTTTGTTTAATTCCAAAATTTAAAAGTAAAATTTAAATATGAATATGTGGTGATTTAAATAATGCAAAAGTAATAGTTGTTTAGACATTTTCATAAAAATGTAGAAGTGAAGGGTATTTTAATGAAAACGTCTTCGATTCATGCATTTGAGTTTAGTGAGAATATTATTAATCCCATAAATTATTATTTGATGAACTATTTTTTTTTATATATTTTAAGTTTGGAACTTCAATTTTTAAAATAATATGAGCAATTTTTTTTTGGCAAGTAATAACTGATATTCAATTTAATTTTTAATTTAACATTTTATGTTTAGAGATTATAAATTTATTTATTAAGTGATTAAGCACTTAGGGTTCGTTTGGGACGGCGATGCGGTGGTAGCGCGATATTACACCGCAGTTTTGTCTGTTTGGGTAAACTGTGTTTTGACAACCTTTTTAGAAAACTGCAGTTGAAATCTGTTTTTTCTCATCTATTCTGATTGGATGCGTTTGCAGCTTTCTAGTTGCGGTCTAAATTTTTTTAAAAAATAAATATGTAATACCCACTGCAATTTTTGAACATTAAATTATTTTTTCAGCAGCTTCACAACTACTTTTTAATAAGTTGCAACTGCCCTAAATAGGCCCTTAGTGGGCTCATAACACAACTCGTAAGTATAATTATTATGATGTTAATCCTAAGGGGTCTTTATTAAGTGGCAACTTGGCTTGATTGAGGTCAATAGTACATGGGTTAAACCTCCTCAAGAGAATACTTGTCTTATCAAATTATGGCTAAGAATTAGTCGAGGCCAAAGGGGTCGAACAAATGAGCAAGCTTGATTAAACTTAAATCACAATATCTAAAAACTTCAAGATAAACCAGATATTCTTCGAAAGATATTCTTTGAATAAGATTCGGTGGGTGAAGTGGATTCATGGTTGATGATCACTTAGCTTTGGGTGCACCCATAGAGAGTAAATATACATAGGTTAAGGCTAAAGATTTAGAGTTTGTTTTGAACAACATTTTAATTGATGATCACAAAAGCTATAGTACGTATAGATTTCAAGTTTGTTTTGAACAACGTTCTAATTGTTATTTTTTACACTGCCATTATAATTGAGTTTTGCTTTTTTTTTTTCTTTCTGAAAATTTCTATAATAGGAAGTTTCTTTTAAATATCTTAAAATATGTAAGTTGTATATAAATTGTTGTCTATTTTTTCCAAAAAAAAAAAAAATTATAATAGCCGCCGCACCTAGCTTATCACCAAATTATTTTATTTCAAAATTTTAAATTATCTCATTTGCCCTACAAATACAAAATTACTTAGTGAAATTTAAGAAATAAAAATATTATGTATATATATA